ATCCAGAATGACAGCTGTCAAATGAAATTATGTATTCATGTTTTGAACACATACCAAGAGATTTGGGCAAGCCTGCAAAGCTTCTAGTACCCCAGGAATGCTGAAGGCTTCATAACCCCGAACCCTACGTCTGTCAAGATGCCTGGGATGAAGGCCATATAACTGCTCAATGTCTGGCATTTTCTTCAGCAAGGTTAGGAAGCTGGAATCTGTGAATCCTAGACAAACAATCCGTATTGCAATTTTTTTAAAAAAATTAAAAATAGGTTACGTAGATGCACACAGACAAGTAACTGTCTTTATTTTATTGTATATACATTTCCATTTTGGCATATTCTTTTGTAATTTTAGAATTTGAAGACAACAGTACAGAAAGATTGAGGAAAAACAACTATATGCAAAAAGATAAACATAATTGAAATAGTTTACTAATGGAAAGTGTTAAATATATATTTAATCAAAAAATATTTAATTTCCCAAAGTATAATTTGGTAAGTGGTATTACAGATCTGTTATAATGAATCACTAGTTTTTTTTATCACACATCTTAGATTTTGTGTGTGTGTGAGAGAGAGATGAGGTTTAATTTCCACCTGAGTATATTATTCATATATTCCCAATTTTAAATTTTCCTTCAAAATGAGGAAAAGACATTTGGCTCATTGTTCTACAAGGCTTCCTTATTCCCTACTTTAAAGGGAAGCACTAAATTTGCCCTTTCTGAATCTGTAACTTGTCCTAAGTTTTGCTGACCTTTTAGAATACCTGCAAAACATTAGGCAATTTCAGACAGTTTCCATAGCTATCAAGAATAAATCCCCAGTGATTCTGGATAAAGATTAAATTTAAATATTAAAATTTCATTTCAGAAGATCCCTATTCCATTACTCCTGCCTAGCTGACTGCCTAATCAAAAGTTGCTTTCTCTTAAAATACATATTTTTAAGAGCTTCTGCCATCTCTTTATATGCCACCAGACTCAAGATTGACCCATCCTTCCATCCTTCCAAGGTAGGTAAAATGAGGACCCAAATTGTTGGGGGCAATATGCTGACTCTGTAAACCGCTTAGAGAGGGCTGTAAAGCACTGTGAAGTGGTATATGTGTCTAAGTGCTGTTGCTATTCTGGGAAGCTTTCCCATGAACACATAACATTTGTGGAAATTCTGGTTTTTTTAATGCAAAATAATCAAAGTTATCAAGTTTACAGCACCACTTACCAGTGGGCATGTACTCCCACCAGCGACCTGCGCAGAGATCCACAACTTTTACCACTCTTAGGTACAAGATGACAGCTTCCTTTAATTTCCGGGAGAGGCATTCCATGCACATGATATCCTGCAGGGGAAGATACCTTCAGGAAGGAATAAAATGGGATTAATTCTTAGATGGCTTCTTTCCTTTACTATTGTAGTAAAGAACAATTTGTATACTAAATAACATCTATTAACAACTACAGCAAGAAATAAATTCAACAATAAATGAAAAGAGAACTGTAGTAAAACAGGTCATGTGATTTACTTATTCTTTTCAGTCATCAAGTAACAATTGTTTCTTTGAATCACATCCTAAAATATTAAAAAAATAAAGACATCACATGTGTACTTGCCATCCAATCATGGCAGCAGGACTACAAAATTACCATTTGGTAAAACAATGATGTTAGTTACCAAAGAGGATATTTGATGAGTCCTGTATCTTATAGTCATCCAAAGTAGAGAGTAAAAAACCCCTCTCTATAGTACAATTTTTTTATTTCATAGGCCAATGATATTCAGCAATGATAAATCATTACTGCATCCAGAGTGTTAATCTGAATCTTCTTTTTAAATGAAACTTTTAAAACAATTCAAAAGCCCCCCTCAGCCCCCTTGTCTCGAATAGCACAACCCCAAAGATAAGGGCAGGCCCTAATTTTGGAAAGCACTTAAGACCTGGCTCTTTCAGAGGGCCTTTGGATATGATGAGTATGGTTACTTGCTCCTGAAGAGTAATAATATCCTATACAAGTGGCACTAGGCAATGTGGGGATGATTATAGTTTTTTTCCTGCAACACAAAAGCATTCACAAAGTAATACTTGATGTATTGACATAACGTTACCCAAACCTCTAAAAGGAAGCAGTTAAATGTCAACATTAGGCAGATGCTTGTAATCACTGACCATTAAAGTGAATGATAGGAGATATTAAAACAAAAACAAAATCTTTTCTTACCTAAAGATATGGCAAAGCACTTCATGTGAAAGCTGGTTCATGTAGTCTTTCAGCTCAGCAGCTTTGATGCATACAGGACTTTCCCGGTTTGTGGAATACACTTTCATGTTTTTTCGTCTAGGCCCCATTTTGATTGTATTTGACGATTGTAGGGTACTGCACTTCTAAGAACAGTGAAACTGAAAGAGAAACTTAAAATAGGTGAACAATTCTAATGGCAACTTAAATTAGCAAAAAGTCTATGTAAAACTTGTATCTGCACAAAGCTTAAAAAACACAACACAGAAACTAAGAGCAGCCTTCTGAAAAGATGTGTTATACTCTCCACTATCTTCCATTTGGATATAAAGATGGAAGACACTTTCTGATTAGGAGAAACCAGTTTGTAAATGAAACTCAAGTCAGATCTCTTGTGAAAAATCATCACTAGTGATAATGAACAATTACAATTAGTGTTCCATTTATAGAAAGCCAAGGAAAATATTTTTGGTTAGCCTAGTCCTGCATGACTCCCCTTGAGTTCTTAACAAATAATGTCATGCATTCATATTCAGTCGTAATCACAACTGATTCCAATGGGGCTTATCTCAAATTCAGAGAGAGTTGCTAACATAAATAATAAAGGATTAAAACTAGATAGCAAATTTCAAAAGACATTTGTTCTTATAAGAAAGTTATAAACCAACTCTCCTGCTGTTTTAGAAATAAATCTCACTGAATTTAGCAAACGATAGTTAAATCAACATCCATAAATTAATTTAGAAACGAGTGGCCACTTTTTGTAAAAAATGTTAGAAATTGGATTTTCTGTATATAATTTCCCACCAGCCTCCCTATTTACAACATTCCCACAACTGTACCCTGTACAATTCCTATAACATGCCATATAAAGTAGCCTATAATTTAAAAATCAAATACTGAACAAGCTCATCAGTATGCAAGATTTTGCATCTGTGTTTGAATCACAGTCTAGCAAAGAGTCAATGGAGTAAATAAATGCATTATTCAAAGGAATTAGCAATTATACTACAGAATATACCACAGATTTTTTTTATACATAATCCAGTTTATGTGAAGCCAGTAACTGTATTTTGGTAACATGTAATTATGAATACTTGTTCTGTGAGAATCCTTTTATAGTACTAAATGGAAAAAAATCATTACAAATTCTGTAAAGTGGCATCAACCATGTGCTACTATTGTAATTCCCCTATTGTGGGTGCCCCAAGACCATCCCAAGGCTTTGAAGAACTCCAATATTCTACTAAGCTTCACTGGAAGAAATAAAAATAAGACTCATTTGGTATGTCGGAGGCTACAATGGAAACCATACTAAAGCTGACCTCCATCTCGGGTTTGTTTGTTTTTTTAAGACAACAGGAATGAGGAAAACACAAGAGTTGCTTGTCAAGTCTGAAAGTCAACAGCAAGACCAAGTCCAACCGTTCAACCCCAGCTGTGTAAGCCTAAACAAGTCAGTGGGGGGAGGGGGTTAAGTGTCTCCCTTGTTCCTCCACAAGAGGCGAGGGTCCCTTTCTCTTCCCTCCTGCCCTCTTGAAGCTCCATCACCAACCCTTCGCCCTTCCTGGGCCCCCAAATAACTGCCGAGCATTCCTTCTCAGTCCGCTAATAAGTAGGCCGCGGGTGCTCAGGCCAACAAGACACGGGGGGGGGGGAGAGAGAGAGAGAGAAAGGCTGGTCATTCAAGAGCGTCGTGCCCATCCCCGGAGGGGCTGCTCCCCTCTGTTGCAATCTGAGTTGTCTCACCAGTCTGTCCGAGAAGGGCGGAGGTCAGAGATCAGCGCTGAACCCCCCCACCCCCCAAACGGTCTGCCGTAAGACACTCCCCCTCGAAAGCCATAGCAGAAACAGCCCTGACTGCCCAACCGTCAACTGCCCGCCCCCCACCCCACCCACCCACAGAGCACCACCAGCGACCAACTCCGAATCTCTTCCCCTGGCCGCCTACCTTTCCTCATTGAGACTCTAATCCGAGCAGCTCAAGAGACGCTTCCACCCCCCACCCAATGCCTCACAACACTTCCGCTTCCTGTCCATCCCTCATCACTTCCGCAAACTCTGTCCCTCCTCCTCAAGAGAGAGAGAGAAAGACGGACGAGTGGCTCCGCAACCCTCACTTCCGGCACGCTAGAGACCAGATTTAGGTCCGGAGGGAAAGAGATTTATAAAAGCCGTCGCTTCTTTCATTCCCTTTCTGCCTTTGCTCTTTAAACCTGGTCCTCTCACCACACTAATTTCAACCTGGTTAGAAAATTGAGCAGTTCTCCCCCCCACAAGCATTGACAAATCCATAAATTTGGTGATTAACCTAGCCTTAAAACATTACTCCAGTCTTTTTTGTTCCCCTCATAGATATTGCAGCTCTTTGCATCTTAAATCGTTTTCGCTTTTACTTGAAACTGTTGGCATTGCATCAAACGAAGTTAATGTAACTTTTTTTTTTAAACTCTTGAGCCTTTCAACCTCGTCCCCGGGGGTTCTAGTTTAAATGCTTGATTTTTAAACCCTGGAAACAATTGTCAGAACGTTTTAAAAAATCGCGCAGTGAGAAATTGGATATAGACGTTTATGCATTTTGCTCCTTCCTTCCTTCCTTCTCAAATGAACAATGGGTTTAGTATAACGCCTTTTATCCAACAACAACAACGGTATTTTCATGAGAGCATCCAATCAAAGAGCAAGTGGGCGATGCCCTGTGAAACTCTCCCCGCATATGGAGGACGGCGTCATTCGGGAACCAGAAGTACTTCCGAGGACCTCTTTGGACTGGAATCCCTGCGTCCTGCTGCCTTAGCCAGCATGGCCACCACGCTGCTCCTTCGCCGCCTGTCTTCGGCTGTGGCCGCTCGGCCTCCCCGACGCTATCTGGGCGCGGCGGCAACGGCGCATTTCCAGCACCTGCTGGTGGAGAAGAAGGGGGCCGGGCAGAGGGTGGCGGTGATCCAGCTGAACCGGCCGAAGGTCCTGAACGCGCTTTGCGACGGTCTGATGAAAGAGCTGGGCGAAGCGCTGGACGCGCTGGAGCAGGACCCGGGCGTGGGTGCCATCGTGCTGACGGGCAGCGAGAAAGCCTTCGCCGCTGGCGCCGACATCAAGGAGATGCAGCACCGGACTTTCCAGGAGTGCTACGGCGGCAACTTCCTCGCCCACTGGAACCGCTTGGCCAGCGTCCGAAAGCCGGTCATCGCCGCCGTCAATGGCTATGCGCTGGGCGGCGGCTGCGAGCTGGCCATGATGTGTGACATCATCTACGCGGGCGAGAAGGCGCAGTTCGGGCAGCCGGAGATCCTGCTGGGTACCATCCCCGGCGCCGGCGGGACGCAGAGGCTGACCCGAGCGGTGGGCAAGTCTCTGGCCATGGAGATGGTCCTGACCGGGGAACGGATCTCGGCCCAGGAAGCCAAGCTGGCCGGCCTCGTCAGTAAAGTCTGCCCGGTGGAAACACTGCTGGACGAAGCCATCGGCTGCGGGGAGAAGATCGCCCGCCACTCCAAGCTGGTGGTCGCCATGGCCAAAGAAGCGGTCAACGCCGCCTTCGAGCTCACCTTAGCCGAGGGCAACCGCCTGGAAAAGAGGCTCTTCCACGCCACTTTTGCCACGGAGGACCGGAAAGAGGGGATGAATGCCTTTGTGGAGAAGAGAGAAGCCAAGTTTAAAGACCAGTAATTCCTCCCACGCGGTAGTGGCCACAGTGACGGTGGTGGGCTAGGAATGCAATTACATTTAGAGAAGACAATACAGAAGACGCTTTGCCAAAAGAGGCCTTGATTTGCAATCCCTGGACCCTAACATGGCAGCTACCTCCTTGTCAGAAAGTGGTCCCAGCTCTAATTATTGGCACCACTGTGTGCAAAAATCAATTTATTTGGAAAGTTGGTAATTAAAAATAAAAGTATCCCAATTTCCCTTAAAAGTGATCTTTGCCAAATGCTTAGGATTGCATAAAAATGGAAGCTTTTGTGTCCACAGTAAATGGACAAAAGTTCAAGGTGAAAGGAATAGTTATTACAGCATTAGAAGATGGATTGATCTATCCAGAATCTTATAAATTCTTTTATCTTAGTAATAAATCTGAGCTTTAGCTACCACTGCTATGGAGTGAGGTACATCTGGTGTGATTGCATGTGGTTAAAAAGTTCCTAAGCTCAAGAATATACTGATGCATCAAATACTGGTCAATGGAAACACTTCATAAGCTAGAGTTAATAACAAACCAGTAAGTGAGAAACTGCTGTGTCATTGCAACTGAAACTTGGTGAAAGCATTCCATCCTGGATAGTGCTGTTCGCTTAGGTGGATTTTTAACATTTTGGCTTATTTTCTTTTGAGAGCAAGCATCAGAATTTTATTTTTAATGTGTGACAGTGTGTTCACAGGAAAAAAAATGACAGTAAAAGTTATCTTATAAGCTAATGAAAAATGCAGAAAAAAATATTTTCACGTATTCCACTGATTTCTTAATTGTAATAAAAACTTAATAAAATGACATTATTTAAAAATGGATTGTATCCCTTGCCTATTCTGCCTTTCATCTATTTTTTTAAACAAATAGTTTTATTCAGATATATTCAGGAGTAATTCTGAGGTAAAAGCAGAGTTGCTTACTCCAATAGTGAACATCATATTTCTCTTCATTGCTGCTCTTAAAAGCTTTTTGCCCAAGACAGCTAATAGAAATGTCTCTAAATTTCAGCACTCGTGCATCAGCCATTGCTTCTTTGCCCTATAATTCACAAAGCTATGTGTAGGCTATTTCTGTCTCAGAAGGCAATCTGGTTCTGGGTTGGGCAGCCCTGCTCAACTACAGTTAGATATGGCTTGCTGACATCTCACTAGAACTCACTGCAATGCACTTTATATTGGGTTGTCCCTGAAGAACACTGAAAGCTACAACTGGTACAAAGAGACCAACCTCAGTAGTTAGGAGCACAACCTGGTTTATCTAAATGACACTTCTATTGCAGGAATTACTCTGCAAGAGTTATTAGTAAGCTTTTGGGTACAATTCAAGGTGCCAGTTGTCATTTAAAACCTAATATACCTCTGGGTCTGACAACATCTGAATATCTGACAGCTATTTCAAGTGGATTGCCCCACTCAAGAAGAGCTGGAAGGTAAGGTTTGTTCTGGGAGTGATTTCTTTTTCAAGGTATTGCTACACTTTCTCTGAACAGTGAACGCCTGGAAATTAGAGCAGATGCAACCCTGCAAATCCTTGGAAGACCGTGAGGACCTAGCTTTTTCTCAGGATTTCAATAGGCAATGGTATGAATTCCCTTGTAGAAGGGATATTGATAGCTAGTTGACTTTTCTTGATGTTCTTTAATGGTATATAGCCCAGGGGTCTCCAACCTTAGCAACTTTAAGACTTGTGGACTTCAACTCCCAGAATTCCTCAGCCAGCAAATTCAGGGAGTTGAAGTCTACAAGTCTTAAAGTTGCCAAGGTTGGAGACCCTCAGTATAGCCGATAACCTGGTATTGGCCGGGTATTTATCCTAATCCTATATTAGATAGGAAAATCCCTGATTTCGGAGACCACAACAAACATAATTTCTAATGTTGGATTTTCTCTGTTACCAGAGAGACATCCCCCCCACTTTTGTGGAGTACTGTGAAGCTGTTACCATGGCAACTGCGCAGTGCTGTACAGTAGAATCCATTTTAAGGTAGTACGGTAGAAGTCATTTGAAGGCACAACAGGCTGTACCTTAACAGAACACACACCCCAAGGGGTGTTAGGGGTGTCTTACCACCACAGCATTTGTTTCCAGAAAGTAAGTAATCTGTGTACAAAGTTTGTTTGAAATTGCTCAAGGCGTTCTAGAGTTATGCTGGAACACCTACCCACCCACATAGATGCACACACACAGCCATATTTATATATATAGTTTATATATAACATTTCACCCCATTATTGTATGTATAGATAGTCCTCAGCTTACAATCACAATTGAGCTCAAAATTTCTGTTGCTAAGTGAGACGTTAAGAGAATTTTGCCCCCTTTTATGACCTTTCTTGTTAAGTGAATCACTGTAAGTTAAGTTAGTAACATGGTTACTAAATGAATGTGTCAGAAGGTCACAAAAGGTGATCACGTGACCCTGGGATACTGCAACCATGACTCAGTTGCCAAGCATTCAAATATTGATTACATGACCATAGGGATTCTGCAACGGTTGTAAGTGTGAGAAACAGTCAAAAGTCATTTTTTTCAGTGCTGTTGTAACTTTGAACAGTCACTAAATGAACTATTGTAAGTCAAGGACTACCTGTACTTGTGAAATTATTCAGCTATTGTTTATGAGCTGAAGTGGAAGTTAGGAACACTGGTCAATGTCCAGAATTCAGGATTATTAGTAAAATGTAATATATTTTCCTCAAGATGGTGAATTTAAACCAAAAGCCTTGATCAACGTGAGACCAAGTATAATAGACAATTTATATTCATGTGAATCTATCCAGACCATAAGAGTATATTTAGCTTGTCCACTGATAACACATTTCCGTTCTTCATATGCATAGCCCTGTTGCCTAAACTTAAATAGGCCAATTTGCTTCCATACTGTAGAATGTTACAACCTGAAGTGTTTCTGACACCAATATTAGTTTTTGATACGAGAAAAACAATATTCTTTTGACGTTTTTGCCCTTGTTCCAATTTGCTCCTAGTAATTAATATAAGTCAACAAAAATACTATTTTGGTAATGTTGGCTCCAGATAGTGCCATGGAAGAATCCTGAATCCTGAGTGATCAAGCATCTAAGCATGAAGTTTAAAGACTATCAATTTATTTTCCTTCCATCTATTCCCTTCTGGTGCTTGTTTATGTGTCATGGAATATGTAGGAAAACCTGGGAAGGTTACAAATGCAAGATATAGGTAGTATTATTAAGGCTCTCTGTGTAATACATATTTGACATAAAGTCAACTGCCAAAAAGAAACTTGTAAGCTACCAATATATGACATGGGCAATTTGAATGATACGTGCATTTTTTCTCATTTGTTCCTAACCTTGATGAAGCCAAAATGACTAAATGTGTGACATCACAATGCAAGCTTCTCCCACCCATATTTGCATCACACACTAGGATAAAATTTATGTAGAGACCCATATTTTGTGGCTAACCTTCCTGCTGCACACAGTTATGTTAATTGTATCAATCTAAAACCTCAGTTTATCACTTAGCTTTAATTTTTTATTCAGAGAAATAAGAGTTACTAAACGTAGATGTGGATATATTTGAATTTGCAAGTCAATAGCTTTTTATTGCTAATTAGATAGACACTGGATCAAGAGTTGTTTCCAAAGCCTTTTTCATTCTTTAAACATCAATTCAACTTAGCACTTGGTCTTCTATCCCTAAATACAAGGAGGGAAAAAGAAAAGAGAATACTATTAGAAATCCGCATTACCAAAAAACCATTTTTTCAATTAAAAATGCATTTGTATTTATGCTTTTTTCATTGGATACTTGGAAGTAATAACATCTAGATAGAAATAGAGATATGGTTGTTTTAGGTAAATATGCTCTGTGCCCCATAAATTTTTATCCCCACCCCTTATTTTTCCTACTAACATGACTTCTTGAACATTCTTTAACCATATTTATTTATGCATGCCTCTGAATCAATCTTACTCTTCACAACTTCCTGAACTACTCAATAGCTCTCTTGGCAAGATTTCAGAGAGGGAGTGACATAGTCTTCTTCCTAAGGCTAAAAGAGAGTGACTGGCTCAAAGTTACCTAGCTGGCTTCATGTCTAAAGTTTCTGGTTCTCCTGTTTTCTGGTTTTTAGCTTGGTACCTTAACCATTATACCTAACTAGCTGTTTCTCAGATTAATACTAAAGAATTAGAAACTCATGGCATACATTTTTAAATGTGTGATCGAAGTTGGTATTCTGCCAAACAATGCTTATTTTCCTATCCTAGGCAGATTCACTGGAGATTCATGCAATACGACAAACTGGATATACTTTTTTGGAGCATTGTTCTTCATGACGTATGCCAATTTTGTTCCCAGTTGTCCTGTAACAGCAGAGTAGTAATTTGTGTGAATGACTAAAACCTAAAACTGTATCAGCGAATTTACCCCTTACAGGGTTTATATTGCTGAGATGATATATAGAAAGTGCTTGAAGACTAAAAATATTTCTAGTTCACCCTTTGGTCCCCAAAGCATAGCATAAAATAATGGCATCTTAATTAAAAACTAACAATAAGATACAATAAGAGGGAGGGAGGGAGGGAGGAAGGGAAAGAAGGAAGGAAGGAAAGGAAGGAAGGAAGGAAGGAAGGAAGGAAGGAAGGAAGGAAGGAAGGAAGGAAGGAAGGAAGGAAGGAAGGAAGGAAGGAAGGAAACTTCTAGTTAACAATTTTATTATCTAATGGTAAAATACTGGTTGGGTTGATTGCTTAACAGATAGATTTTGGGAGGGAATTCCATAAAGAAAATGCTATATACATAAAAATAAAGTGAACTGATATAAATGATAGATATAACAGTGAACTGGTGATCAGGTTCCTTACAGAGTTTGCCTATTGCCTTAAGCCATACTGTATTTTATTTTAATGTGATTTTGAAACCAGCTATTATAGCATATAAACTTAAATGTATTTTTTAATGCAAAAATCTCTGTCACTTTAGTAAACCATGCCTGAGCGAATGTGTGATATGCCTCATTCATTTAGCGTTCTACATCATAATGTGTTATTTGGGTTAATGTGCTGTGTAAATCCACTTCATCATGATTAATTCACTAAATCTTGATTTGAGAAACTGTAACTTGGTTTGATGAACTTAGGCAAGCTTGTAAACTGTTCTTCAGAATCTGACCATATTGGAAATATTGTTTCCATTTGAATGTGGCATTGCTGGTATTTGATACCATATTCACTGGGTAGATAGAGTGATAATTCTAGGACTTTTGAATAGTTATACACCATATCCACTTTATCTTAATAAGCTGAGGACAGAGAATTTTAAGAGAGTAAATCACATTAATCACATATTCATGATGAAAAATACAGCTACTTAAAATTTAAAAAAGCTTTCTAGAGAGGATCAATGCCAGATTTGAGTGGCCTTTTTTTTTGGCAAAGTGTCTCCCTCTGCTATTTTGCCTTCATGGAAATTTTAGCAGGACTGGGAACTAGATCTATTTGTATCATCAGAACTGGACCTTTGGGGCTAGATCTGTGTTCCACAATCCAGAAATTTCCCAAATGCTCTCATTTGAATAGGAGACAATATGTATAATAACTCAATGGTGCCTATGCTATACAAAAATGGAGTATTAACCAGAGGTGGTATTCAGCAAGTTCTGACCAGTTCTGGAGAACCAGTAGCAGAAATTTTGAGTAGTTCGGAGAACTGGCAAATACCGCCTCTGACTGGCCCCACCCCCATCTATTCTCTGCCTCCTAAGTCTCAGCTGATTGGCTGGATCTTCCTTTATTGCCCTGCACAGGAGAACGGAGGTGGAAAGCAGGTTAGTGGGGTGGGGAGGGAATGGGGATTTTGCAGTAACCTTCCCCTGCCACGCCCACCAAGCCATGCCCAACAAGCCACGCCCAACAAGCCACACCACGCCCACCAAGCTATGCCCACAGAACCAGTAGTAAACAATTTTGAATCCCACCACTGGTACTAACTATCCAGTTCTGTATGTTCCCCCAATCCAAAAGTAAGCAGCAAGTTGAAGTCTGAGATCCTAAGTCTTGGACCACCAACTGTTCCACTGCCCTATGTGGATATCTGCTCTCAAAGGTGAAACCTATGCCACTAGTCAATAGAGCTGCAGCCAAATGTGACTGCCAGCCATAGCAGTTATTTGCATATACCACGATAACTGCTGCTATACAAGCAGAGAAGAAGGAAGAGAAGGAAAAGGATTTGCCCGCTACCACTCACTATATAAAGAAAAGAAGAGTGGCAATGGACAGACAAGATAGCAATGGTAGAATGAAAGGGTCAATTAAAATTGTTGCTTTTGTTGCTGATGGCTGGATTCAACCATTTCTTAATTTCTCCTAATGCTGTATAATTATGCAGCAGGCATGGAGGGAAATGAAAAAGAAGACTATGCTTGGCACACTAATGTCGTTCAGAGTTCAGACTACTTTTCCTCTCAAAATTGGACACAGCCATTGCCTGGCCAAGCATGCTGCAACTGATCCTGAACTTTACACAGATGAAGAACTATGCTCAGAATAGGGAAGGAGAGATAAATACAACATAATGGGACCATGCATTTGGAAAAGCAAGCTACTTATATGTACAACACTCATTGTCATTAGAATTTTGTTTTACACTGAGCTTACCGGATTGTAGCACACAAGATGCACAGGTGGGAATAGGTCTTCCCATCAGTGCCACACACTGGCTGACGATCTTTTGGGCAGTCTGCAGCCGTGCCCTTTTGTGGTTGTGGATATTTACTGCAGTCAACCTACAAAGATGTTCCAGACAGTTTTAACAAATGCTCTTTGGTATTGCTTATTTTGAACACTGCAGAAGACAGCTGTCCAGATCTGCCTTTCTAGTTCCTACATACTGAGCCACTTCTCATCCCATGATTTTATTTATATGTATGCTTGTTTATTTATCAAATGTATTTGCTGTCAATCTCATGTTCCAAGAAAACCTGAGGGTCTTAACATCCAAATAAAACAAACATTCAATAATTATAAATATAAAAATGGATTAAAATTACAAAAATAAAAACAAACTAAAAAAATAAGGCTATGGAGGGGAGAGGTCAGATGCCTTCTCTGTTAGTGTACCAACCATATCCAGCCAACAGACCTCATGTCAGCCATTGTAGCCAGTTTTTAAGGTCTTTATGGGCTAAAGGAGAGAGGATAGATCCTCCCTTTTGTGGCAAGATGTTCCAAAGAGCAAGAGCTAAAATAAATAAATAAACCAACTTCTGGATCCCACAGCCAAAAGTAGGATAAGTCAATCATATTAGGAAAATACAGTTCCACAGATCTCTTGAACCCATGTCATAAATGACTTCAAAGGTAATAACCAAGGGCTTTAAAGGTAATAACTTTGAATTGCACTCAGAAGCAGATCAGCAGCTAGTGTAGTTCATGTAACAGAGGAGTTATGTATGCCATCCTAGAAGCCTGTCCTGCTGCATTTTGGACCAATTGTAGCTTCCAAATACTTTTCAAGGGTACCCATGTAGAATGTGTTACAATAATCCAAGCAGGGGATGATCAGGCATGAGTGACATCAAAGATCAAATACTTGCTGATAATACAGTAACCTTGAGATATTATTGTATTCAGGCCTTGGTAATAAACTGAAAAAGAAAATTGCTAATGCTTTCTTTAAAGATTATGTGTGTGTGTGTATTTACATACATAAAAGCAATTTTGGCAGCTGAAGCACAGTCTAAACATTTTTTTAAAAATTGTGTAAAAAGACATATGTTTCACATCAGAATGAGATATAGAATTCAATTTTAAATTACATAATAGTAATACTTACACATTTTCCTTCATATACCATGTCTAGCTTGGATCCACTTCTAAAAAAATGAAGATCTGAACTTAATAAATGAAGGAAATAGCAAATGTGGCAAATGTTCAGTTTCAAAGTAAGGCAGACATTTTAAACCTTGCCAGTGCATATTCTAGGAATGCTTTTAAATTCAAGAAGTTTCTCCTTTGTTACTGGTCACCACTTAATAAAAGAATTCTAATTGTCTACTTTTAGTTAGTTTAGCTTATTTAGTTGTATTTCCACATGTAATTTATTGTTAGTCTCCCATCAATTCAAGTGTTTCCCCATTTTTGCTATCCGTCACCAAATGGGAAGAGACATACTCATTGGCTTTATAAGGCCAAGGATCAATCTTCACATAACTCAAACATTGTTTAGTTAAATAACGTAGGTAAACAGAGGAGTACACAAACTCTATTTTGAGTTGTGAGCTACAGATGGCTCTTAAAATATAATTCAGCATGAACTTCTGCATTAGATTGTAGATTAAATTTGCTAGATGCTTGGCTCTTTTACCTTATCCTTGAGACTAATGGCATTTTTTGACCTTTAACTAGTGTGCTGTTGTGCTTAAATACAGGAAAGATGGAAGCACTCACAAGATTTTGGAACATAATTCACATTTGTTAGAATAGGTCTTGCCATCAGTTCCACACACTGGATCATAGATATCAGGATAAGCATACTGGCCTTTTTTGTTTTGTTGATATTGGCTGCAAACAATCTGCAAAATAAATAAATAAGGAGAGATCAGTATTCACCCTTTTGCTTTGTTATTTACATTTCAGAAAAACAGAGCTTGTTCAATTCATATCCTTGCTAATTTGGGAAGAAGGCCAAAAAGGGCATATGCTATTTGCTTTAGGAATCCATTTTTGTTCATTCCATTTTAAGGGCAACCTGAGTTAAAAGGAATGTGGTTAACTATTAATGATTTAACTGGAATGTGGCACAATGGACTACCTTATTGTGGAAAGAAGTTTATAATACACATTTAGAGTACAAGAAGCAATTTGTTGAAATAACAGCAACGGTTCTTCTTTCTCTAAACATGAAGCTAAAAGATCAGCATGCAACTTTGACAATAAAGATCAGCAATCTTCTTTAGTGAGTGTTCCTGCCAAGGTCATGTTAAGTTTGGAGGAGTGGGCGCAATAACAGAGACGAGGCATTGATAGTGACTCAATTCAACTCTTTAATAGTGACTTCAGAACAGAGCAACAATTAGGGCAGCAGCAGCTCTTTTATAGAGCTGGCTGCTGTCACAACAACCAATGAAATTGAACTAACCGATCTAAAAGCGTCCAATCAGAGACGGCCCGTTGTCAGCCAATCAGATCAGCCAGAATCGGCCAATCACGATTTGCTTATCCGCGGGCCAATCCGAAGTGCAGGATTACAAGCCTGCTGCTGAAGCAAGCTAGCATAGTTATTGTCAAATGAGTTTGCTTAGTTCGTAACACCCCTTCCCCCTAGGTTCCGTCTTAGGGGTGGGGTGACGTATTCTCCTAAGTAGGCAGGCTGTTTCACCTGTCTATTCGATTTTCGCTGTTCCACCGGTCTCTGCTCTGGCGCGGACTCCGGTGGGCTGTTAGTAGAACCGGGTGGCGAAAACGGTTCCACTGTTTCGCTCGGGGACTCAGGGCTGTCCTCTCTGTTGTCATCCGGGTTCCCTGGACTTGCTTCTATGGCCGGGCTGCTTTGTGGTGAAGCAATCACCCGGCTCGGTCCTCCTCCGGAAGGTGAGTATCCCATGGTTGGTTGTGCAGACTGCTGGGCGTCAGTTAGTGGGTCGTCTGCTAATTCTATTTCGGCCCCCTCGATTTCCCTCCCCCCCCCAGTTTGAGATTCAGGGGTTGAAATAGGGTTAGGTGCCAATCGGGAACGAAGTTGGTCTATATGGTGCTTCCATAATTTCCCATTGCTAGTTTGTAGGCGGTAAGATCTGGGACCCGTAATTTGAGTTATAGTAGCGGGGACCCACAATGGATCACCCGAGAAGTTTTTCGCAAAGACTAAGTCACCTACCTTGAACTCACGACACTTGCTGCTGGAACCGGAAGGTTTTTCTGGCGTGTAGGTTGGGTGCAGGCGATCGATGTGTGAGCGAAGTTTCCGGCCCATCAGAAGTTCGGCCGGGGTTTTGTTAGTGATGCTGTGTGGGGTGATGTGTTGGAGGAGAAGCATTCTGGTTTTTTTGTCGTCAATGTCTCCATGCTCCATCTTGTGCAAGGTCTTTTTTATGAATTGGACCATGCGCTCAGCCCTGCCATTGGCCGCAGGGTGAGCCGGCGAAGTTAAGGCATGGCGGATGCCCCGGTCGGCTAGGTACTGTTCAAATGCTAGGGCAGTGAATTGGGGACCGTTATCCGAGACTAAAACGTCAGGTAATCCGTGCGTAGCGAATAGTCTATTTAATTTTTTAATGACGGCGTCTGTGGTGGTGCTCTTCATTTTGTGGACTTCGAGCCAGTTGGAATAGGCATCCACAGTTATGAGAAAAGTGTGTCCCTTGGTGGGTCCCGCAAAGTCAATGTGGATGCGGGACCAGGGACCACGAGGTGCGTCCCATTCAGTTGGAGGTGCCTTCGGTGGGGCAGCGTGGATTTCCTGGCACTTGTTGCATGTGGCCACCCAGGCTTCTATCTGTTTATCGATACCTGGCCACCACGCGTAACTTCTTGCCAATGCCTTCATTCGCACGATGCCTGGATGACCATCGTGCAACAGTTTTAGAACTGTATGTTGTAATTTTTTGGGAATGACGACTCTGTCTCCCCACAAGATGCAGCCCTTCTGGGAAAACAGTTCTGTCTGTCAGTGTTTGAACGGTGTGAAGGTGTCGTTGGGTTCGGTGTCAGGCCAACCTCGTTCCACCCAGCTGAGGACTCGAGTGAATACAGGATCCTTTTTTGTTTCCGCGGCGATGTCTTGCGCAGTCAAGGGTGGCGCAGGGAGAGTTTCGATTTGGAGTGCAGTTAAAGTTGGAGCCGGATCATCTATGGCTTCCGGTAGCGGAGAACGACTTAAGGCATCAGCGTGGGGAATGGCTTTCCCCGGGCGGTGTTGTAGTTGATAATCGTATGCGGCTAGAAACTCTGACCAACGGGTCATTCTTGGTGATAATATGTGGGGAGTTGGTTTGTCTCCCGCTAAAATACCAAGCAATGGCTTGTGATCGGTTATTATGGTAAACGGTCTGCCATATACATATTCATGAAAACGTTTAATGGCGGATACAATAGCAAGAGCCTCTTTATCGAGTTGGCTGTAGTTTCTTTCAGTCTTTGATAAAGTTCGTGAAAAGAAGGCAACAGGTGCTTCATTTCCGTTTGGTAGGACTTGACTTAAGATGGGTCCTACCCCAAACGGTGAAGCATCGCAGGTGACCGTTAAAGGCAAAGTCTCGTTATACTGCATTAATACAGCATCTGAGGTTAAGAGATCTTTTACTTGCTGGAAGGCTCGTTCTTCCCGGTGTCCCCAGACCCAGGAAGCCTTCTTGTCGAGTAGTCTATGTAGGGGCTCAGCTACAGTCACCTTTTGGGGCAAGAAGATGTTATAAAAGTTAATGAGTCCTAGGAAGGCTTGGAGATCTGTCTTATTCCTGGGTCTTGGGGCGTTTTTTATCGCCGTTACTTTTTTCTCAGTGGGATGGATTCCCTTTTTGTCAAGAAGGTACCCCAGGAATTGAACCCTCTCAGTACAAAGTTGACACTTGTCCTTTTTTACTTTTAAACCGGCGTTTTTGAATTTATGAAGGACCATTCTAAGTCGTTTCTCTAATACGTCTTTAGTGGGGGCAGCTATCAATACGTCATCGAAATAAGGCACGACTCCTTTTATGCCTTGTAGCAGTCTCTCCATCAGGCTTTGGAAAATGCCTGGTGCTACACTCACTCCGAACTGGAGTCTATTACATTTAAACGCACCTCTGTGCATGACTATAGTCTGGGCCTCAGCAGTTTCTGCATCTACGGGTAGTTGCTGGTATGCCTGAGCGAGGTCCAATTTTGCAAATATTTTTCCGCCACCCAGGGAGTGAAGAAGATGTTGGACCACAGGTACTGGGTAAGCGCTCTGCTGAAGCGTGTGATTTAGGGTGGCCCGGTAATCCCCACAAATTCTTATCGATCCATCAGGTTTTATGGGAGTTACAATCGGGGTTTCCACACGGGCGTGATCGATCGGTTCTAAAACCCCCTGAGCTATTAATTTGTCCAATTGTTCGTCAATCTTTGGCTTGAGTGCGAAGGGCACTCGACGAGGCTTAAGGCGGATGGGTGCGACATCGGGGTTGAGGCTAAACGATATGGGGGATCCCTTGTACTTGCCTAGCTTCTCGGTGAACACGTCCTGGAACTCCTGGACGAGGTCCGCTTCCCAGTCGCTGTTCCCGGTTTGGTGACTGCCAGCTAGTTCAATTCCCAGTGGGGTGAACCACTGTAACCCCAACAAGCTGGGTCGGTCTCGATCGACGATGGTAATAGGCAGAGTAGCGGTGTGGTCCTTGAAGGACACCTGGACGTTGCGGGAACCGGCAACGGGAATCCTGTTTCCCTGGTAGTCCCTTAATATGATTTTTTGGGTGCTGAGATCCTGGCGACGGATGTCAGGGATCAGCTGTTTGAAGGTTTTCCACGAGACCATCGATAGGGACGATCCCGAGTCTACTTCCATTACGCATGGACGATTCTCAATGGCGACCTTCACTCGGATTTTTCTTGCATCCAAGGATGATGCGTGACCAATGGTAATGGTTTGATGCGCCTCTTCTCGCCTAGCTAACGCAGCAGGCGCTCGATTTCTGTAGTGATAGTGGTTCCATTGGTGATTCAGACGGTCCCGATTTACAGGTGGGCTGCCCGTTCTTCGGATTGGGCTTGACGCTCACTTGCTTCTGCAAACCTTTGCAATGTGGCCCCTCTTTCCACAGGAACGGCAGAGTGCGTCGAGGAATTTGCAGTCCGATCACGGGTGATTGGCCCCGCAACCGGCGCATTGACGTGCAGGTTTCTGGCTCTTCTGGTCTCGCTGGTCGCGCTCTGACCTGAGTCGGTTGACCTCTTCTTCCTCACTATCAGACGAGGATTCGAGGTCTTCGTGGTGAGCCGTTGTTGAGTGTCTCTTGGAAAAAGGCGTAGTATCATTGGCGAGTTGGCGGAGCAGTGCGTTGGTGCGGCGCATTCGAGCGGCCGACTTCCTGGTTGCTTCTGCTGCAGTAGCGTCGGCGATGACATCTGCGAGGTCGATGTCCCCTTTAGCCATGATCTTGCTCTGCGCTGTGTGGTCATCTAATCCCAGAACTATGCGGTCTCTCATGGCTTCCTCGAGGTTTGCGAAACCACAGAGGCCTCCCAGGTTCCGGAGGTCCACTATGAAGTCCCCAACGCTCTCGTTTTTCCGTTGGTCCCTCTGGTAAAATTCGTGCCTTCGGATCAGCATTGGTACCGCGGGTGCATAATGGGCTCGGAGGATCGGTGCAAGAGTATCCCAATCCATTGTCTTAACTTCCGCTGGTTTAGCAAGTGCCTTAGCCATTTTAAAAATGGCAGGCCCACAATGGGTCAGGAAGATCGCTCGTTTCTTGCCAGGCGCAGCGTCTTTCAGGTTGTTGGTCTCCAGGAACATCTGGAACCTGTCTATATACTCTGGCAACCAAATTGAATGAGGAGGTGGTGTGGGAGTCAGGACCAACATCAAGGCAATTTGAGAGCTCCGAGG